TGTGTGTGTGTGCAGCTCAGCCCACCAGGGGGCGGGGCTGGCTGGCATGTGGTGCTGGGGGATTGAACCGCGGTCCCTTTGCTTTGCTAAGCTTGTTCTAAGTAGGTGCTTTAGACCACTGAGCCATCTCACCAGCCCTGGTTTTTCATTTCATTTTGCCAGTATCTTGCTAGACATGGATCGTGAGCAAGTTATATACTCTGAGTCTCCGTTTCCTTTCAGCAAAATGGACTCCAGAATGGTCGGTGTTGCTGGTGGCCCTGACAGAGCCCACGAATGGAAAGCACTGTGTATGGGTGGATGCTAGCTGCACTGCCTTGCAAGCTTTCTCTGGGAAAGCCCAGGTGACCAGGTCACTGGCAGGAGGACCTGGTAGGTCCCAGACTGTGTGAATGTTCAAGCTGAGAGGAACTTTAAGACCAGTTACTCTGCCTTCACCCTGCCCTGCCTCCTTCTGGATGAGAAGCCCAATGGATTTTCTTACCATTTCTCATCCTGCAGAGTTGGAGGCCAGGTTGGACCTAGAACCCAGGTCTCTGGACTTGGGACTCAGGGCAGAAATGTGTCCCACTCCATCTCTCTTGGAAACTCCCTAACTGCAGAAACCAGCCTGGCACCTGCTTGCCAGATCTGGACATGGCTGGGCTCCAGGATTCCCCCTGCTCCAGCTGGTCTCATGCCTTTTGTGTGTGAGAAGGCTTTGACCAGAAAAGTCTAGGTTTGAATTCTTGTCTGTGTGACCCTTATTAGCCATAAGACTCTGGGTAAGTTACATAACCTTCCCACATCTGTCTCTTATCTGCTAAGATTATGCTAGAACCTGCTGTCTCTTAAAAGTTATAACAGGGTTTGTTGCATGGTAGGCAGAATAATAGCCCTCCAAAGACATGGACATCCTAAGACTTGGAATTTGTGACTGTGACCTTACATGGCAAAAGGGCTTTTTGATCAATGTGATTAGGGACTTGGGTGGCTAGCCTGGCTCATCCAGGTGGGCCCACTGGACTCACAGGGGCCCCTTAATATGCAGGATGGAGGCAGGGGATGTGGGCTCTGGAAGGGGACACAGCAGCTCTGCCCTAGAAATTGGAAGAGGCAGAGGGCCAGATTTCCTCCTAGAGACTCCAGAAGGAACACGCCTCCACTGACATCACAACTTTAGCCTAGTGGGCCCATTTTGGACTTCTGCCCTCCAGAATTATAAGAGATTAGTTTTGTTTCAAGAATGGCATTTGAACATGTGTGCAAAACGCTGGAAAGGTAACCAGCAAGTTCACTTACTGGTATACCGAGGTGAAGAGCAGCTATTCTGTATCTGAATCTGTTTCTGGACTCTGTTCCCTCAGTTTCTGGAGGGTGTGGTGTGACTTGTACTGCCAGACCTTGGCAGGCGGCCCTGAGCCTCAACACCCAGCAGCACCAGCCAGGGAAGGCAGGGAGTCCACATTTCTGTTTGGCCTTGCTTGCAGGTGCCCAGATGTCCTGGGACATCTATCCCAGGACACAGCCAGCCCCGAATGCCTGTGGGACTGTGCAGAGGGAGGTGGTCTGCTACCGGCTATGCAAGCTGCCTGTGGTTTATGGAGAGGGAAGGTGGTTGACCCCCAGGGACAGCTTCTTGGATCTCAGGCCCACAGAAGCTCCTGTCTCTTGAGGACCAGAGCTCATCCCAGCAGTGTGTGGAGGATCCCAGCCGCATCCTTGTTCGACTCCAGGCCCCTCACTGCTGCTTTACCTTCTCTTTGGCTTACTACTGAAGTTATTATGGCTAAGCCTGATGTCCGACACTTGCCAGTGCTTCCGTGGCCAAAGCACTGTCAGTTAACGTATGCTGCTGTAAGGCTGGAGGCCGTTCCTGTCTTGCTACTTTGGCTGTCAGCAAACTAGCTCAGGGCTGCTTGGGCTTCCTGACATCCTTCAGCTGTTGAATGGGGTGAGGGCGGGGCTGGGAGTCAAGAAGGCCCATCTTCTAGCTCTTTGATGGTGGTCTGTTGGCTTCTGTAGCCTAGTACTGTCTTCAAGACCATCTTGGTTTCATGGCTCAGGGGTTCTAAGCACTGGGTGGAGGGTGCTGCCTGTTACTGAGCAGGAAGTTTCCTTTTTATATATACTTACGCAGCACAAGAAAAAAATATGGTGAATAATTTTTTTAATTTTTATTTTAGGGAAGGGTCTATAGGGTGTTCAGGGTCTCAGTACTAGATCTGACTCATAGTGATCTGCACGTTTACAGCCTCCCAAGTGCTGGGATTACAGGTGCACGCCACCACGCCCAGTCTCAATCGCTGTCTCAGCAAGCCCTGGGGGCGGGGCTGGCACAGCAGGCCCGAGGATCGAATCCCTGGCTCTCGCACCTGCTTGCAGGCGCTTTAATCTGCTGAGCTATTTGGCTGGTCCTGTGAATACTTAAATTAAGAAAATTTATTATAGTAAGACACACTGCCATTAATCCCCCCTCAAACTATCCCCTCTTTTTGAGTATGCCTATCTCATCATTCTTGGTACTTTCTGAAGCAGTTCTGCAAGTCCTCTTTAGCCGCACTGTTGTGGCTGCTTAGAGGTTGTGAACAGATTCAGCATTTGTCCTTCCCTGTCAGTGACTTTGCAGACGAGTCAGAAATTACACGGTGCCATGGCCAGTGACGCAGGTGGGTGAGGACACAGCAGCAGGTTTCTATGGGTCTCCGTTTTTCCATTGGACGGCTCTTGACAGTAGCGGTTACTATGTATTTCATCACACGTTGTAAAGACACAAAGGACGACTTCCAGAACTGCTTCAGAAGGTAACAAGAACTATGGGATACTGTGTCTGAGGCAAAGGAAGTATTCTGAGGAAGATAGCGGCAATGGGTCTTTTACTGTAATACACAGTTAGACACTATGTATTCTCATTGCTTCCTATGCACTAATGCTGCTCCATTTTACTGCAAAATATTCAGCTTAAACTCCTCCAAAAGCTTTTTTCCACTGTAGAAAGGAAGGCTTCCAAGAGATGGAGGGAGAAGAGAAGGGGAGGTAAAGAGAATTAAGATGTGTTAATCCCCACAGGTAAATCCCAGCTCCCCAAGGGGGATGTAATCATTATGTCCTGCAGCTTTGGACCAAGAAACATTTTTAACTAAGGAAGGCAAGCTGATGGAGAGGCCGACAAGTCCTTTACAGAGGTGTCAAGCGCTCAAAGATTGAGCTGTTTAGTGGATCTAGTGCTCCTCAACGTGGTGCCGCCTCCCTCCTTTGCTTCCCTTGGGTGCCTCCAGAGCAACCTTTATTAGGGCACCAACCACTGACCCTAGATTCCCTGACATAAGTGGAGGAGCAGGCAGCTGCTTTGAGAGATTTTGCTAACGGTTTTTTTTTTTTTGTTGTTGTTGTTGTTGTTGCTGTTGCGGAACCGGGGATTGAACTCAGACCCTTGCGCTTGCCAGGGAAGCGCTTATTCTACTGAGCCATCTCTCCAACCCCATGAGTAGATTTTGTTAGAATCACTAGCAACCTATTTCACAATTTATGTCCCAACATACAGGTCAGTCTGCATGTAGGAAGACTTTCTTTATAGGCCTGGCACAAGATACCAAATATTTGCTCAATGAATGTGACCCTGACACACTAACGGCAGGCTTACCAGACTGGCAAAGGGTTACAGGAAGGAGAAAGCCTTAGGAGATGCCCGATATTCTGCCTCATACTAGACTCTTGGTCAGAGCCCCAGTGGCACCCAGGGGCAGGATACTGAACTCAACTTTGCATGATCTTCCTGCCCTTCTGCTCAGGAGAAAGACTAGGTCAGAGTTCATCTTTGACCAGCACAAGAGAGGCATGATTCTCCCTGGGTTCTTATCTTTACAGTTGGCTTGGGGTGGGGTCTGACACGAGGTCAGAATGAGGACTGGGTAAAGACCGGTCACATAGCTTCTCCTTTCTGGAGCTGTCTAAGCCAAGAGGTGGTACCCTGGCTTCCTCTTGAAGCCCACCCTACCTCCAGCTGAGCAGCACCCTGGCTCACTGCAGGGGCTTGGGAGGCACCTGGATTATTAGTGGTTTCAGACTTGCCTGAGAGTGTACATATCCAGTGTATATCCAAAAGCCTCTTCCTGCTCTACATAGCCCCTTGGCGACTTCTAGCCCTCTGTGGCCCCAAGCCTTCCTGAGGTCCCCCCTCACACTCCTCTTGCTGCAGACTGAGCATTTCCAGCGTCCATAGCTTTTTTCCGAGGTTAAGCCATGCCTGGGACCTCACTGGAAGTTCTACTCTGCCTTTTGCAATCCAGGTGTG